CTGGGGGGGCAAAAATACCGAGTTGGAGAAACAAAGGGCTCTCTTCCCCCAAAGAAGTTTTTAGGTTGGCCAACAGGGTAGGTGTTCTGTACAATGGGCGCTTCCCCCCCTTTTTTGGTTTTGTGGGGGGTTCCAAAACCCCCGGGGCCCGGCCCCCCCCCCCCCCCCCCCACACACACACACACACACACACAAGGTGTGAGTTTGTTTTCGTGTATCCAGAGACAACGGAGCCATCCGCGTCGTCCCGGGAATCTTCTGAATATTTAACACCCACCAGAGTGGCCTCACAAATCCCGGCTCTTCACCCCGTCCGCCTCCACTCGGTGTGTTCCAAAGAGGACCGACGTGTGTCTGTGCGTTCCTTCATCTAAATAATGTCACCAATGGGTTATTTTAGCACTCTGTGCTTGAGGGCTAAAATTACCTGAGTACAGTAACAAAGAGCTTCACTCCGACAGAGAGACTTTTAGGTTTGCTCACAGGGACGGTGTTCGTTACAAGCAGCGCTTCACCGCCTTTTTTTGTTATTGTGGAGGGTCCATAACCCACGAGGAACGGTCCCCCTCCCCCCCCCCCGGAGAGGGATGTCAGCTGCCCCTCCCAGATGGATTCGTTAAGCGCTGATGATGAGGCCGCTGTGCATCAGGCGTGGGGGTGTGGAAGGCGTCGGAGCATCATAAATCTCTCCCTTGCTGTTTATTTATTAATACAGCCCTGCAGCGTGCACCTGTGCTCCTCCTCCAGAGAGACACAGGGAGGTGGGAGGGGACGGGGAAGGACGGCGGGACGGAGGGGGACGGGGGGGTTAGATAGGATTCCCCAGAGTGGCCACAAAAAGCCCAGTAGGAGGAAACGACTTGAAGGGGGAGCTGCATGACAAATGATGGTGCGGCGGAGCAAATAGACGCGGGGAGGGAAGGACGGATGGACACGTGGCCGAGGACGGGAGCTCCTCCGGGGACGGCGATTACACACACACACACACACAGAAGGTCTCTCATTACGCAGTAAGAGAAAAGGCATGACTGGTCAGCTGACCGCTTGTCTCTGCGGTGAGGAGACACTCAACTTGTCCTCGTGCAGTGTTTGCAAAGTGGCATTATCTTTTTTTTTTTTTTCCTAGCTTACTATTTACACAGCGACGCCTCACTGGTGTTATGCAAAAGGAAAAAGACCCTTGTCTGACAAACGGTCAGCAAAGCGCCACGATAACGGCTGGCACGGAGCGGACATTTAGAACCAAACGCACACAAACTGAATTAGTTATTCACACGGTCTGGACTGACTACAAGTTAAAGATTTCTGGAAGAGAGTCTCTGCTGTTCCATCCGAGCTGTTGAATTATTAGACATTTCACAACTTGTTCCTCTTCAAATTGTAAAACAAATTCCTGTCCCTTTTCATTCACTTTCTCTGATTGCCGCACACGTGTGCGAATGAGTAACCTGAGAAATGTCAGAGTAACCGGAGTGATTAAACGCGTCTGCAAACCCAGAGCGGTGCGATCAGAGGCGGGCCTCCTGAAGGCGCAGCTGGAATGTGCGTTCTTCCCTCCTCTTCCTCGTGAAGGCCCTACTGAGCGGGAATGTGCCCCGCGGGGAGACCCGAGGCGGCGGCGGCGGCGCAGTGGAGCGACGACAATAATGTGACCGCCGGCGTGTCTCCCGTCCCTCCTCAGATCGGGCTCATGTCGGTGACGGTGTTTCCGGTGCGGCTGCTGCTGGTGGCCTCCCTCATGCTGCTGGCGTGGCCCTTCGCCTTCGTCGCCTCCCTGGGGCGATCCGACTTCGTCGTGGAGCCGCCGTCCTGGTGGATGAGGTGTGTGTGCTTTTGTCTTGTGCGAGCAAAACCAATGTGTGAAAAAGGGCAGCATCCTGTAAACGGAACAAACGAGCCTTTTGAAAATCACCGTCTTGTTTTATTGGCGTCTGTGGAAAATTCCATTCCCTCACTGTGCATCCGCCGCCCGTGTGTCCTCCGCCAGCGCCATAGACCTGTGTCTACGTGTGATCATGCGGGCCATGTGGTTCTGCGGAGGGTTCCATTGGATCAAAGTGAAAGGCCAGCGGGCGGCGCCCACCGAAGTTCCCATCCTCGCCGTGGCGCCGCACTCCTCCTACTTCGACGCCATCCCGGTGACCTTGACCATGTGCTCCATAGTCGGCAAACTGGAGAGCAGGAGCATTCCCGTCTGGGGCAGTGAGTCGTTTCCGCTTGGACATTTCTGCCCCGTAATGACGTTCAACGTCTCCTTTTTATGCAGAATGAAGATGGGGTTTTAAATAGAATGAATAATGCCGCCAAAGATGTAAAAATGATCTCTGACATTCACTGATTCACAAAACGTTTTGCCTCCGCCCTCCAAGCTCTGATCAGCTACGTCAGGCCGGTGTTTGTGTTCCGCTCGGATCAGGACTCCAGGAGGAAAACGGTCGAGGAGATCAAGCGGAGGGCCCTGTCCGGAGGCGCGTGGCCTCAGGTAAAGTACACGAAAACTGCCCCTGAATCCGTGTGCACACCCAGAGAAACGACAGGCTGAGCCCCAGATCAACAGCACACTTACGTAATGTGTGCGAGCCAGATGTTTGCGTGCATGTGCAACTCACACAGTGTTTCCTCCGTTTCCAGATCATGATATTCCCAGAGGGGACGTGCACCAACCGGTCGGGGCTCATCTTGTTTAAGCCTGGTATGTGTTCAGCTCAGTCCTCTCTAAGGCGTGACGTAAGAGGTGGACGGGGGAATCCTGCATGTATTTACTTGATGGAGTTTTAAATCGGCCAGAATTGTCGAGTTTCCTCCGCGCCTCGTTTACTTGTGTCGGCCATACGGACGCATCAGCATCAATATTAGTAGCCGTTAAATTCAGCGGTGTTTAGGATCTTTTATTACGTTCATTCAACATATCCAGGATTTTTTTTTCAATTACATTTTTTGACCGTATAACGTTTTTTGACAAATTTAATTTTTTTTTTTTTTTACATTTTTGAAACTTTTTTTTGAAATTTTGTAAAATATTTTTTGGCCTCATTTTTTCCTCATTTACATTTTACAATATATATTTTTTCCAACACAACAAATGAACCTTACTTTCTGGAACCGATTCTATAAACATTGATCAAAAATGTACATTCCCCTTTTTGAAATTGTAAATCAAGAAATGTAATACCTTAATTTCAAAGACCATTAAAAGATTACTGTTGATGGTTTTCAAAGTAAAATATTTATTCAACGCTATGAATTCAGTGGTGTTGCTGAGTGCTGAGGTGGAGCACAATTCCCTTATTTCTGTTATTTGCTTCTCGTGAGAGGGGGCGTGTCCCCGGGAATTCAGCCTGTCAGAGCGATCTCTCTGCTGAACTCCTACACGCTTGTACTTTAACAGGCATCTAGCGGCAATTATTTCTCATACATCACACAAGTAGGCACTGGCCTCCCTGCATGGATACGTCAGGAAAAAACCAACGACTTCTTTGTCCAGAGGCAAAAATTGTTATTACATAAAGACACAGCAATCCAAACTGAAAACGAGGTTGGGTGCTCTCCAGACTCGCTGAGACGGTAATCGTCCAACCACATCGGACAGTTTCCGTCTTTGTCACAGCCAAAGTGTGTGTGTGTGTGTGTGTGTGTGTGTGTGTGCGCGCGTGTTTTTCACGCTGCGTGTGCGCGGCGTGCTCCTCGGATACGTCCAGTCCCTTTTGTGGTTTTCAAAAGGCCTTCTCCATGAAGACGTCCCGAACGCCGTCCTCGTCCGTCTCCTCGGCTGTCTTGTTTTTATCCAGAGGGCCTGAGCGCTGATTACTCTCGTGTTCTTAAACCAACACGGAAGACCATAATTGTTAAAATGAGATGTATGATGTTGGGGTTTACCTGTTAATCATCTGTTTTTTGTGTTGTTACAACTTTTATCATTTGGACTACTAATTACTCCGCAGCTATTTGTAAGAAGTAGCAAAACAAGAATGAAGACTAATATTTGCACAGTGCTCAAATGACTTTTTACAGTAATAAATACTGCATGAATCTCAATGGAGAGCTTGTCCGCCAGGCTGGAGGTCGTCCGCAGGTCATCCGGGTGTTGTGTGCATGTATTAATTGATTTAAAACATCTTCTCTCGTCTCCTCTTCGTCCTTTATCTCAGGTGCTTTCATCCCAGGACTCCCAGTGCAGCCCGTGGTGCTGCGCTACCCCAACGCACTGGTAAATCCGCTCTACTTGAGTCCTTCTCCGGCTCTAAACCGCCGCTATTGTCACACTTTGGACAAAGTGGAAGTTTAGTGTTTCATGTAAGAAAAACCCCGCACATGCCGACCGGCCTGTGATGTAATGGTGACGTTCCCTCCCGCTGTGTTCAATGACTTTACGTTCTAGTAGGATGATATTTCATCTCTCTCTCTCTCGCACACACAGGTGTCATGTCTCTCTCTCTCTCAGCAGCTCTCATCACTCTCATGAATTATGTGGCTCTTAATAGATGTTGTTGTTTCCCTTCTCGCTGCTTCCCGTCACCGTGACAGCGTGTCAGTGCGAGGCACGTAAATGAACTTCCAATGAGACCTTCTGAACCGCCAGAAGTGTTTCCCGTGCGTCCGTTTAGCGGTGAGGAAGAGACGCTGCTGGAAAACGCCTGTAACCGATCCGGACACAAAGATTTAAAAAACCAACCACACAGAATACGGATTGTTAGTGAGTCAAACGCATTGCAAAAAAAAAAGAGAGAAAAAAAGTCCTTGAGTGCACATTACCCACAATGCAACTCGACTGTGGCTGTATATCAGGAGTAATATCCAGTAGCCTGGAGCAGCGATGCGGAGCTACTGAGGCCTGCTGCGCTCACGTCTTTTCTAACCACACTGCCAGAACGTGTCATTTGAGATATTCCCTCAAAGTGTTACAAACATTGTCAGTGTTCATTCTGGCCCCTTTTTAGTCAGTTGGTCCCATTAGACTTATAAGACTGTCTTTTTTCGTTTCCACTGAGCGGTACGGTACGGGTCGGTATCCTTTTATTTGTGTCTCCACTGCCAAAAGTTGAGAATGGTACCAAAAATCCAAACCGTACCGTACCACTTTTTGGGTACCCTTCCGTTGGGGCACCTGGCACAGGTGTTTGGCACTAAAGGGCGGAGCTAGACTCACTGCAGAGCGTTGATTGGTTGAAAGAGTGTCGTCATTTGCGCGTGCCGCAGGCGGAAAGACAACACACGTAACACACCTGCAGCGTGTAGCCTTTGCTCAAACAAAGAGTGTCGTCTCCTTGTGACAAACAGCCACATATCGAGAAGCGAGAACAGGATCGGCTGTACGTCCTCCGTTGTTTGCGGTTAGCTTTCAATTTTTGCGCGATCCAATGACGTCAATCTACTTTCAAGCGACGTTACCACTACTTTCTGGAATACACCACGCATATCATGTAAGGATACTGTTGGCGGTGGAAACGCTCGCCAAATCATGGTTAACAGACCCGACCCGTACCGACCCGTACCGTACCGCTCGGTGGAAACGCGCCATTAGGTATCCTTTGGCGGTGATGAGTAGTATGTTTAAAGCGTGTTGGTCTTCATCCATCTGCATTTGCACGCAGGACCGCTCTAAACCGTTGATCCAGGAAGTTTGAGAAGTGGTTGGGAATTGACTGTGTGTTTTTTGTCCTGAGCCGTTTCCTCTCTCTCCTTCCTCCCCGCAGGATACTATTTCATGGACGTGGCAAGGTCCCGGCGCGTAAGTGTTTGTCTTTGTCTCACGCGCCTTCACTCTTACACACACACACACACAGCCTTCAGAACACCAGTGACCTGTTTTCCATTAAGCGTGAACGTGGTGAAAGGCCGCAGGGGAAACCGCCTCTATTGTCTCTGCGTCTTGCAGGTTCAAGCTGCTGTGGCTCACTCTGTGCCAGCCTCACAATCCCCTGGAGATCGAGGTGAGTCGCTCAGTCAACCAGCAGTGTGCAGATCCCATCACCGCTCCTTGTCCCGCTGCCTTCAAGCTCCTTCTTTCCACGCTATGAGAAGTGTTGGAATGCCATGTGTGTAATTCCTCCACTGTTGTCGGGAGGTGTCACACCGGGTTCCCTCTTTCCTCAGTACCTCCCTGTTTACACTCCATCCGACGCGGAGAGGGGGGACCCTGCCCTGTTTGCCAACAACGTCCGAAAGCTCATGGCCAGGTGAGCTGGTTTGTGTGTTTTCCAAGTGTGTTGACACACGCACGCACACACACGACGACACGAACGTCCTCGCCGACCTCTCGTCCCTGCGCCCCGAATTAGGGCGCTGCAGCTTCCGCTCACGGACCTGTCCTTCGACGACCGGGAGATCAGCCTGTCGCGGGGCCCGCTGCGCATCCACGACTACAGCGGCCTGCTGGAGTTCAACCGGCTCGCCTGCCGCCTGAGGTGAGTGGAGCGAGGCCCGATCAGCTGGTCGAGCTGGTCAAACCGGATGCGAGGTGGCTCTAAATCCGAGACGTGGGTTTCTCAAGCGCAAATGGGAATTTACTTATTTCGAAATTTGTGTTACATTTCATTCACGTTTTTATTGCTGTCAAGTTGCGTCACTTCAATTGTAATGAAACCGCTGCAAATAGCAAACGTAACGTTTTTTAATGAGTTTTTTTTTCCCGTGTAATAATAGCATGTGATTTTGTTTGTGCTTTTCTCTTACCAGGCCGAGAGCAGGAAGGACGGACAAAGTGCTGGAGGAGCAGGCGAGGAGAGCCAGGAAGCTGCAGGCAGACGGGCTGAGCGCCGAGGACTTCGCCCAGTTCCTCGATCTGCCGCTCACGGACACGCTCGCACGAGTCCACAGCCTCTTTGACCAGGTGAACGCACTCGTTATCGTTAGAAATAATGTTTACATGATGTGCACTTGGGTCACTGGTAAGAGATGCACGGCACGGTGTAATAGTAGAGATTAAAGGGGACATTCCAGATAGGAAAGGCTAATCTTATGGGTTAAAAGTTAGCAGCTGTATCGCACTGTGATGCTGTTACTGGTACAGTATCAATATTTATATCAATTATTTTTGCCATTGACTCCGATTGTTATTGTAAGCATCATTAAAAACATATTTTAGTGCCATGGTTACTATATTATTACATTACCTGTCATTTAGCCGACGCTTTTATCCAAAGCGACTTACAATAATTGCATTTCAAGCATAAGGATATAAACTCAAGAGCAAGAAACAAAAAAGTGCAATTTCCTCAAATAAACCAGTTTATAATTTGCTATAGACAAGTGGCGTTATAAGTACAATTAAAGTGCTTTATATGAGGGAATATAGCACTAAAAAGGCGTTCATAATTGTTTCCAGTTAGGTTTGAGAAATATGCTGCATTCTAATCCTGGAGATGCGTCTGGATATGTAAACATTTGATCCTTTAAAGTGCCTCAACATCACTACCTGCTGTTCGACCTTCCTGTTTTTAGGTCTCTTTTGTGGTCGTTTTTAACAGCTCAGGGTTTGCAGATTGTTTCTGATCCGCCTCTTTGTTAAAGGCCACACAGTGGCTCTGATTGAAAGCACCCAGAGGATCACTTTCCTTTGTCTGAGGTGACAAACTCTTTCAGTTCGGGTTCACGCGCCGCCCCCTTGTGGGGAACATGAAATCTGCTAAATGCCCGAAACATCAATAAGTCTGAAGGGATTTTTGCTCACTTTTATTTTTGATGATTTACATGATTTAAAGCTGCAGATGAAAACATATCTCTAGCTTTCTTTTGTATTTGTTGTCGTTTTTTTTCCGCTCACTGGGATCATTTTGTTCGCAGCGTGGAGACGGACTGATAGACGCCCGGCTCTATGTCATCGCTCTGTCTACCGCTCATCGACCATCGCAGTCGTTGGAGACCCTCAAATTGGCCTTCGAGGTGAGCGCGTGCTCCGTCGAATCCCTTTCCGTCCAGGTTTTAATTCATTCCCTTAGTATTTATGTTGCCGTGCAGATGTATGAGAACGAGGAGACCGGGGACGTCCTACGACGGGACCTTGCCGCCATCTTGGAAATAATGTTGGGAGTGAAAAACGTGGAACTCTCGAGTCTGTTTTCATCGCTGAAGGGGCCTCACAGGGCGACCATCACGTACGGTGCGTTTCATTTCTACACATAGGAGACCAGTGCGGAGATGATTGTCTACAGAGCTCCCATCTGTTGACAAGTGGAAATAAAAGATATTTTCCCCTAGATACCTCGAGGTTTAATCATAGTAGGACTCATCTTACTTATAACCATTTTCAATTTTTTTTTACCCCTATTCCAGATGAACTTTGTCATTTCATAGAGCACCACCCGTCCTTCGTCGAGGATTATCTCAATTTTGAAAACCACCCGCGGCATCGACCGAAGAGCAACGGCCGCCACAAGGACGACTGAGGAACCGTTGGCCTCCGCCGACCGATGCGACGGCCTGTCCGATGCCTCTCGCGGCGCCTCCGTGCCTTCCAGTGCCGGTGGAGAAAAGGAGCTGACGGAGTTGTGCGGAGCACAGATGATGGAGACGCGTGTCTCACTTTTCTTCCGAGCTCTTCGCCTTCCTTCACATTAGTTTCCCCATTGTGATATTTAAAAAAAAACACATTTTTTCCCCTTTTCCAGACATATTATTTATTGCTGGTTGTATTGTTTTACTTTCTTTTATGTATGACTTGCATATATTTGAGAAATGTGTTGACAAAAGGGACTTTTTCTCAGACAAATGGATCCTCACTGCCCCGTCCTGCTGCTCCTGTACGTACGTCGCCCTGTGTAGAACATCTTACATGCGTCACGCTGCCGTCGTGCGGTAACGCTACAAACCACGTGATGGAAGAATCTGACACGTAAGCCGATGAAATCATTCTTCACTTGGAGAAGCTTTCCCACTGCCATTAATAGACCTCTTTGCCGTAATGAGAAGAGCCGTGAAGTGACTTCTAATGTCTCAAAATGAATACCGATCAAATCTCTATGCTTTTTGTTTTTATGATGATTTTATTGGTAAAAAAAAATTAGTCATGTTTCTTTTTGGTGTCTCACAAGGAAAATATCTTCTTAAAAGGTAGTGTTTTTTTTTTTTGTTATAGTAAGAAACATTTCGACGGATGGTTTGGAGCAATGGTTCCTTAATGTAACCCTCTCACAGATATTACATACGACAGATGAAAAATAGCCTTCTGGCTAACTGCTACATTCACAGGAATGTTTTATTAATGTGCACTGTCCCTACCAAATAAACCAATATAGAAAAAATAAATACATCTTGTACATTTTTGGTCTAGATTTTTATAGAAATAACTGCTGGCTCACCCGACCGGACACGTTTTGTTCTGTTGACGTAAAGTGTAACTATCAAAGCTCCTTTCCTTTATTTGAATGAGATGAGCGTTGACTGTCTGAGTCCACTAGGGGGAGCTCTGCTTTCACTCATTCAAGGTGCTCTGACTTTAGGGACGCAGCACCTGAATGAATTAAGTCCAATGTTCACGAATTCCATAAAGCCCTCCCTGTTGTTTAATAATATATTTTATTATTTACTTCCTGAGCTGTGTACTCTGTTACACGTGTTGCACCACCACCATCATCATCATCATCATCATCATCATCGTCGTCGTCCGTGTCTCCACACCGTCCCTGCTTTCATCGTGTCGGAGTCCGCGTGGTGGTGCTCGCTCCCCAGACTAAACGCACCGCTGCTCACCTGATGGACAGCAAAAGCATTACCTCATCCCTCCCTTTCCTTCCCTCAGGTAAAAATAGACAGATTAAGCCTCGGCTTTGATGAGAGAAACCTACAGAGGAGGTGTGGAAAGCAGTGAGGAGAGAGAGAGAGAGAGATGGAGGAGAGAGACTAAATGGATCGTTCTGCTCCAAATCCAATTCCTAATAGCTGGAGGGAGGGAGGGAGGGAGGGAGGGAGGAGGAAGAAAAACAGCCAAAGAAAGGGGAGAGGCAGAGGGGGAGTGGAGATATCACGTCTAACAATTAAGACCTGCCTTCAGGCTGCAAAGAAGAAGCTTTGTTGAAAACATATAAATTGCTCATTGAGCAGTGGCTCTCTGCAGTCCCTCAGATACTCAGGAATCCGTCATAAAGGACGGCAGCCACCGCCCGCAGCGCCTCGCATGGCGGGGCTGGAATCTGTTCACGGTATTCAGGGGATCCATCTCCAGCCAAGCCAACCCCCCCCCCCCAGTAAACACAAACCTGGATCGAACCCCAGCGACTCCAATGGAGATCCTTCGCGGCCTCTGTACCTTGCAGGGTCAAAGATCCAGAGACGTTTTATCCTATTTGTCTTTGTGGTGCAAGAGGAGGAGGAGGCTGCGTGCATTGACCGCCTGTTCTTATTTACTTGAATCCAGTGTTTGTGAAGGAGAACAAGTGAAGGGTTTTCTTTAACAAATGCGACCTGCATTCTGAAACACACACGTTATCCCCACAGCAAAGGCCGACTTGTAGCCCGGGAGGAACGTGGAGATACCGTGGACAGATGTACGAACAGACAGACAGGAATTAGTTTATTGAAAGATATTGAGCAAGCAGAGTAAATAGTTGAACGCAAAGTAGAGGATTAGTTTGAAATACAGAAATACACAGGTGGTTTCTACAAAATGAATGACTTGATGTTTTATTTCACCTGCTGGTCGTAACGTTGCATCAGGCAAAAGAGATCGAGGATCAAACCGCGGATCAGATTGACCCTGGCGTCCTGATCTGGCTTAAATTAGGATAATCTCCCCTTTAATTGAGCCAACATTTTAAGCGATACCTTGATTTATTAACTAATTCCTGTTTAGCTGTTCAGTTAAACAGCATTTCAGTGGGTTTTCAGCCTTTCGTGTTCTGGGTGGAGTGATTGACGACACATCTGGGCAAACATCTCCGCTGCCACTCGGTGTGTCGCGGTATCATCGTGCACCGACAACATGACACACGGAATTACCAGCTTCAAGTCAGCCAAGGCAATCTGACACAAATGACTCATGTTTAGTTAATTCAAGGACGCAATAATTCAAAGGAGCAATTTAAGGTGATACGGTTTTACCCAACTGAGGTGGTCTAAAGCAACCAGGTGCCTTTTCTGTTGAAAATGAAATTAATTAAACAAAACAGCTGCTTTTGATAGAACCCAGATGTGAGTTTTTGAAAATAAATGTGGTTTTTCGCCGTAGAGTCATCTTTTAAACTTACTCCCTTTTACAGTAAATGTGCATAGCATAGTACTGGTGAGGCGTAAAGCTAAGCGCTAGCGTCAGTCCACTGACAAGCTAACACTCACAATGCTAACACGTTTGGAACGTTCCCCCTCTTATTCGAGCGTGCCGACATTTGCTAATGAAACACGGACGACAAAACGCATTCAGTGGTGAAATCAGGACGAACACCCCTGAAGGCCTCAGGCGAAACGCGGGAATCTTTCAAGCCTCTACGATTCATCCTGTGGGGAACGCGAACGTCTGTCTCATTATCTTCTGCCCATTCTAGACGTTAGAGATATTTCAGTGAGCGAAAACTTTGATCTCATTGGGGTCGACGCTCTGGAGAGCGTAAATATCTCTCAGCCGGTGCCAAAGTGGTGGAACAACATACGGGTGAGACGACTTTTCCATCACCTAGAGTGAGAAACCACCTCTCAGCCCGCCTACGGCCTCTCGTAGGGTCTCTCCTGCCAATGGTGTACTTTCCATTTGATTAAAAACCGCCCGCTTTTATGCGTTCGGTTCAGCTCCCTTTGATCTAAAGAGCAGCACTAAGTCGCTGGGCTCGTCTGACGAGGTTTCACGCTCTTGTATTATATTATTATTATTTTAAATTGTATTTATGCTTTGGCTTCTCACCACAAACTACCCTCCTTCTCCCCCCGTCACGAGGCCTCCGAGCGCCGACTGCTCCCAAAACAGAAGCAAGTGTTTTCTTTGCGTGTTTTCACCGTCCGTCATTTTCATACCGTCTAAAGCAAGCGGCCAAATCAATGCCTTCACAGACAAAGGAGCAGGCCGCTTTAGGTTGTTGTTTTTCCCTTTGACATGTTCAACGCGTGTCCTTTAAGTGGTGTGAAGGAGTAAAACCTTTTGACGCCACATTCAAGACGCTGCAACGAAAGGAACCATCCAAGCGCGACGACGGTCAGCGGGCTCGACCCACAGAACCTTCTCATGTACGTAAAATTCACCCTTCTGGGTTTTTCGCGTCGCGCTGAAAACACGCAGTAAGAGCCGCTGCGTGGGATCCATCAGACCCGACGGGAGGCGACACTCGTGCCAAGAGACGGAGAGATGTAGAGAGGGCGGGAATGGTGGTTTAAGGCGAGTGGCGGGACGATGAATCACAACCGGGCTGATGCAATTGTCAGCGCGCAAACCGGATGCAGAGGCGATCAGGTGCAGGAGCCTGTCGGCAGACCGGGAGAGGGGAGGGGGGCAGCCAGGTGTTTCTGTGAGAAACAGCGGGGCAATTACCGCCGTGACGAATGCCGTGAACGGAGCGCTGCAGAGAGCATCGCTTTAAGCGCGCTCGCTCGCGGAGGCCTCCCCTTCCCTCCCACGTTTTCAACCAGTGCCTTTAAATCGTAAATCTTTTGCCTTCCCGCTGTTCTCTTAAAACCAATTTCTGGTGATGGAGATTTTAGAGTCAACATCTCTCACCTCCAAGGCCGCCCGTGGCTTCAATTGATTTATCGTCGGTGTTAAAGCCAAGCAAACATAAGCCATGAAATTGAATTTAATTGCGTAATCCATTCCACTTTACATTAAGTGTGGATTATTTTACACGAAGCACTTGCCCGTGTGTGCTCTGACTGGCTAGCACATTAGCGCTCATGCTACGTCCCAGGAGACTGGTGTCCAACGTTGATCATCATCTACCGGTTGCTCGTTGTGTGTTACATCTTTCATCGCTCTCTAATTGGTTATAGGTTTGTTCAATTGTGTCCACAGGGCATTTTGGGCCTCGCCGTGTCCCCCCCCTCACCGCCCCTCCTTAAAAACAGAGAAGGAACTGAGAAGTTCCAGATGAATTCGGCCGTGTGTGATATTAAACAATAGTTCTTATGTTCACAGTAAAAAAGAATCATATCACAAACAGTTTAGCGCGCTGACGCGTTTCTAGGATCTATTTCTGTTTGTGGGTAAGAAAACAGTTGTTGAGGAAATTACCTTCACACATTGTTTCACAAAACGCAGTGAGTAAAAATCTCTCTTGTGTATCTCTTCTGTGTATTTAACACAACCTTTACACCGTCTAGTTGTCGGCAGATGCAGCATCGACACCAGTGATTAAAAAACGATATGGCTGAATAAAAAAAAAAAAAGCCAACCTCGTTCTTATTGGTAGCTCTATATCACGCCGTCTCATATTAATGCTCTTTATCACACTTCGCTGGCATACGTGCGTCTCCCCGGTGTCGAGTATCACACCAGGTATGGAGGCTTTTGTGAAGCGGACGCTCATTCATCACATCCAGTTAGGGGCCTCCTGTCCCCGGACAGGTCGTCAGTCTGCCTGCAGCGCCTGTCGGGAGTGGGGGGGGGCCCCGCCTGCTGACGGGTTGCGAGCGTCCATCCAGCGTCGGCCCTTCTCACTTGCAGCCGTAATCACCGCCGTCTGAGGGTAACCAGCAGTGGCGGATCTCATTAGGCCGTGATGTGGGTCATGCATGCACTGCCTATCTGCATGAGAATGCATCCACCCTCCACCACCCAGCCACACGCAGACACGGCGTGTACGGATAAAAGCGTTAATATGCGTAGTGCACGCACACAGCACACGTGCCTCACACACACACATGGGCTACTCATAAATTTAGACACTTCCGTCAGAAGGCCCTCGCCAGCCGACAGGGATATGAACCCAATATAGCATCCCGGAGATAAGCCGCTGACTCTGGAAGCAGAACTAATATTATTTGCACGGTGTCGAACGTTTATCTGGCTCCGCCTGCAAAGTGATGGTTCTGTGTCACTTTTGTTTAATAATGATGTGCCAATAGTAATATGCCCGCTGGCTGGAAACCTATTACAGTTCAAAAGATTATCCAAATACAATCTAATTTGGAATATTGCGTTTTGACAGCCTGTGACTGGAGGAGGTGGGATGGTAATGCGATACTTTCTTTCCTTTTAAAGAATCCCAATTAACATTTTTAATGCTCAACAAACCAGTGGTGGCTGCAAATGCGCAGAGGTGTGTGACTGTGCCAAATCCCTGATGGGTTTCAGACAAAGGAGAAGGGAGGAATAACTTTTACACGATGCAAACTTGTGACGAGGTGAGTGGCGCGTTTGGGCGCTTCTGTCGCTTCTGTCGCTTGACTTTAAATTGACATTGTGAAAAGAGGGATGATCTTTAAACGTACTGCAGGGAAGCGAGCAACGCTGTCTACTGTTAAACCCAATGAGCGCACAAATGCTCATTTCACGTCCATCCTTCTTTTCTGGAGTGACAGAGCCTCCTTAAAATGGAGAAATGTTTTACCTGCTTTACTAACACAGAGATTTATATATGCAGCCACAAACAAAATAGAGACAATGTTCATATTGAAAAGATAAGAACCTCAACATTTATTGGAGATATTCACATTTAATTAAGTGCTAAGAACCACAAATATCACTTTATTAACGCCCGCCGTCGCATTCCTGCAGCCTTGAATTTAGCGACCTTATTATCAACTTCCTCCCATTAATACTTAACCACGATCGCTCAACACAGCGCAGGAGATGGTTAAAAGAAAGGGGAAGACTTTTGCAAGTTATTAAAATTAAGTTATTAAAATTGAAATTAAAGTTCACCTCACATCATCTTAGATATCATCAATATCTAATGAATTCCCGGAATTATTTTGTGACGAATTGTTTTAATTTACTCTTTTTTTGTCCCTCCCATCAACTTGCCCTCCACTTTCCTGCTTTTCAATGACTGACTGACGACAGCCGGCGAAGAAGCAGAGAGTTGTTGCTCCGATCCGTCGGTGTATTAATATCACAGCACCACACTTTCATATGGGAACGTTGAATTCTTAATTGTCAGGACCCATTATTTCGTCCCAAGTGTCATCTGTGTGCAAGATGTCTTGTTCAATAAAACGTGCAAAGATAAACATCTGGTAGAAATGTCAGCCGGTAATTTATGCGCAGCTTGTTCACAGGTTCGTTGTAACAAACATCTAAAAATAAGTGATTAATTAGTAACACGTCCACAAAAACTGTTATCCTGTTCTTGAAGAATATAATTTCAAAAACTCTACTACGGCGACATTACTTTCATAAGTGTTTACTCACCTGCGGTAAACGCTTTTGTTTTTGTGCGATTAATCGAAACGTCATGCTAACATGCTGATGTGTAGCATGTTCAGTGTTCCATGTTCTCCATCTTAAATCACCATCCTAGCATGCATTACTAGCTAGCATTTAGCACCAAACACGACGTACAGACGAGGCTGAATGTCCAGTTTGGAGATGATTGAATCGAACTTGATTCAGAATTGTAGCAACATCACTTAAAAGTAACCACAATGATGACTAACACACCTCTGTGTGTAAAACCACAAGGTGTAACTACACATGAACTAACTCTAAATGCGTTTAATGTCTGTTTTGTTGCATTGGTCAGGTTCCTTATTGAGAACCCGTCTTAATGTTAATTTACTCAATGAGCAGGTTCAACATGTCGTTTCTTTTTCCACTCTCCCATCCATATATCCACTATAAATACCTTGATGTGGGAGGATTAGCTCGTGTAAGTAGCTTAGCAGGTCTTATTTCCTCTTGGGAGCTTCCATCATCTTCTGAGAGAAGGTGGATTGGTTGCGCGATGCAGAGAACTTCATCTCGTGTGTACTGAGATGCCACCTTCCTGCCGGCGCCGCGTGCGGCCTGCGGTTGAGGACTTGGTGGTGATGGTGTGAATTCTCGGGTTGAGGCCTTCGCGAATGCAAAGATCGGGTTGCGCTCGAGGTGGAGAATAACGTCCCTTAATGTCGTGTTGTGCGAGACATCAGCACGGTCAACCGAAACCGTCGTTGGTGGAATTTTGATGAGGTCGTTGGTAAAGTGATTGCCTGCTGTTGCTTCACTTGCAACGGAGCGACGTGCATGTTTAGCTTCTCTGAAAGGAAAATGCTAATTTCCGCCCGAAGGCATGTAGTGACAAATGAGAACGATTGTGAGACCGCTGTGCTTCTCTTCTCTCACGGCTTCTTTTCTCCCTGACAAATGACTCACGTTGGTCCGGCTGCAATGTTCTTCAGTCTGAAATGGCCTTCAGATAACCAGGGTTATTGTCCCTATAACTGCAGGGTTTTCTACACCTGTGGATGGTTGGAAACTGGGCGGCTCCTCATTTTAAAGTTTTGAGGAAATCATCCAGGAGCTGCACGCATGAGCGGACGCAGCTCGCTGGGACGTCAGAGGCACAGAAATGCGTCAATGATGTGTGTGAACGGGCTGTCAGGAGCAAAAACAAAGACCCGAACAGGAGTTTCCTGCGCTTAAGACGTGTGTCTGTTTGAAATAAGAGAGTCAACATTATAAAAGATACTCTTAAATAGATGTACTTTAGTGTAGACCTCTGCAGTATCGTATCATGCTAATATTAGTAATGTTATTTCATTATCAAAAAAAATCCACTTTGGTGTCAAATACTGGCTTTTTGATTCAACCTGTTGGAAATGTATTTTCCTCGCGTCCACCGTTATTGAGGATTTTCTGTAAACATGTCATGGTGTCACATCATCTGCATCGCCATCTGTGGGAAAAGGAATAGCTGGTTTAGCTTCAGTCAGCAGTCAGCAACACATGTCCAAAACACATGATTTATCTGTATTTCATGTATTAAATTGCATTCTATCATAGGTTCCCTGTACGATTATGTGTTTTTCTTCGGCCAGAACCAGAAGAGTTTCAAAGCTCACACACCAGCTTCCAGATGAGATGTTACTGTATCACATCAGTGCAGCAGACCCCCATCTCCCCCCTCCTCCCCCCTCCTCCCCCCACGGAGTGACTCACACCGCGAGCTCTGCAGTCACCGGAGCGCTTCGGCCTCCATCTTCGCAGGAAACGCTGCCGCCGCTTCCACTTCTGTGTCCCGTGATGCACTCACACACAACCGCTAACAAACGGTGCAAACGTCAGAGTGAGCTGTAAATAATCCCTGTGATGGAACAATTCTTTTTCTAAGCATAACCTTTACAAATCTAGTTATTTATTAAAATGAACAGTAAATAATTGTTTTGCGCCAAAGGTCACAGGAAACTCCGTCACACATCAGCTTTAATACAAAGTAAATGCAGTATTCATGCGCTCCTTGTTCATCACAGTGCACACGAGAAGCTGCGGCGGCATCAGAGGGTCAGTAACCACAGCGAGTGGTGCAGGACAGACATGACTGTGAGGACAAGTTGTGACCTGGAGTCATTGTGTGCGCGCGCGTACGTTGTGTCTCCGTTACGTGTCCCTCCTGTTGGTGTGAAACCGGGGAGGCGAGATGAGTCACGCTCACAGCTGCGACTCATCTCGCCGGAGCAAGCCGATGTTCTCATTCAGGTATAAATAGAGCTCACACACACACACACACACACACACAATCTCACTTTGTACTGTGCATGTAAGTCATGGTTAGTGCGTATCACCAGCCATTCGTTTAACCAACAAAGAGCGAAATACATTCGAGAAGTCATGAAAAAGTCTTAAAAATAACAAGAGGGGTGAGTAAAATCAACCACGTCAAAATAAGTGAAGTCATAGTATTTTCATGCAGTACAAATAAGTCCTGGATTTTACCACGACGATATGCTACGACTGACTGTTATTATAGCACGTTGGAGTGCTATAATAACAGCATGTCATAGCATGTAATAGCAAGTCACAGTATAGCGTGTAAAAAAGATTCATGCTGCACCACTATTCACAAAAGTAACGGTGAAGCTCTCAGAGTGACGAATACAAACGATCATCTTCACTGTAGAGTGAAGAATGAACCATGTAAGTCAAAAAAAAAGAAAAGGTAATAATATGTCATCACAGAAAAGAAAAGCCCTGGAATAAGTTTTTAAAAAAGCACATGATGAAAGTGCTCCAATGGTTGTAAAGTAGGGAACACATAGGATGTGTTCAAATAATACTGAAGTAACACTCGTCCATATCAGAAAAATTGTCTGTAAGTCCTAGAATAGAATATTAGATCCTTGGAATAGAATGTTGAAAACGTCAATTCCTATTATTCCATCTCAGAATAATTCATAAAAAAAGTCAAACTGTGTCATTTAGATCTGATTAAATAGAAAACTATTCGTATAGGATGTCACAATCTGTCATTAAAGAGTTGTATTATAGTATCTCCAAAACAATTCTCATCGTGGAGAAACATTCTTATGAACTCAAATCAAAGAAAAAAAAACATTCAGTTGCAGTTTATTTGTTTTACATTAGTGACACTTTAATTATGTATCTTCCTCATGAAGATTAACACATCAGAACAATTAAACATCAATAAAAACCTGTGCAGTTAACCAATCAGGACATCAAGATTACTCTATTTTACTGTTAAACATGTATATACAGTATGTATTCTTCTTAATCAAGCAGGTAGCCGCTGCAAATGCTTCCCAGCGCTTCGGCCCTCGCCGCCCGCGCCTGTAAACAAACGCCCTGATTGGTGTGAAAGCAGAGAGAAGCCAAGCTGCGGACCAATCGGAAAAGGGCCTTTGTTCGCGGTTGGAAGCGGAGCGCTAGTGGTCCGACTGTTGCCTGGAGACGCGTCGCAGGCAATTACAGAGCAAGATTACAGTGCAGAGAAAAGAGGTGATATTGTCAATGGAGCATGAGTGTGTGTGTGTGTGTGTGTGTGTGTGTGTGTGTGTGTGTGTGTGTGTGTGTGTGCGTGTGTGTGTGGGCGGCTGTGCGCATGTTGAATGCAGCAGCTGCAGCATTAGTGGAGCCGTGTGAAGATGGGCAAACGGAATTGTTAATAATGTGTTTTTCAGCATCTGGTGTAATTTGTGCGTCGGATAAAGGATGAACATGAACTACTATTTAAACAAAACAGATGCTAAAAACTATTTTCAGTAAAACTACCAAAAACAAACAAAGGGGAAGGTGAAAACATGTGATGCGGACGGTTGATCGTCGGTGGACATTACTCACTATAGTGGAATAAAACGCTAGTACACAGAAACACACGTCTACTGTCCACCATTACATCCTGATGCTGCAAAACAAGGTTTTAATAGAGCAAAGAGGTGTCTGGCTTAAGTCTTGGGGCCTTATTTATACGTTTTAATTGGAATGTATTAAAGATCTATTCAGATCGAGTTGTGCTTTTTAAACCATATAGGTGTTGAAAGTTGAATTCATCCCCGCAGCTCCTCCATGTGAATAAATGAATTCACCATTTTAAATGGTGCGTGCTGGAATGACGCCGATAACAGGACGAGGTAAACGAGGCCCCAGGACCAGAACAGAAGCTCAGTGGGGATCTGCTCTAAGAGGAGGGATGCAGATGTTCTGCTCTGGACGCGGTGACGGGTATCTTCCCCTCTTCTACACCTGGAGGCTTAGTGACCACAGCCCTGGGATCCCTTGGGGGTCTCTTCCGTTTGGAGCCAGACTCTCCTCTCCGGCCCCCCTCCCGCGGTCCGTGGAACAGCCTCTCTTTCAAACTGGCCCCGGGGAGGACCAAGAAAACCAACCCCATGGCCGCCAGGGCCGATCCGAGACAGGAGAGGCCGATCCCTGCCGCGGCGCTCAGGCGCAGCCCCCTGTTGAAGCTCACCGCCTGGGGGTCCACAAAAAACAGGTCGCCCTCCCCGAACGACTCGATTCTGTGGGGCGTGGAGTAGCCGACGGACAGGATGGCGATGCCTGCAGTCAGGACGGGCAGACCCAGGGCCAGGTACACCTGCAGGGAGAGTGGGAGGGGGGGGGGGGGGTAACTGGATCTTCATCCATGGTCGACTAACAATGAGTCCACCGCACTGGAGTTCAAGTGAGCCAGTAAAATTAAGAACACTAACGAGGGATCAAGAACAACAAGAGAGTGGGACGCCCCCCGATACAAAGAGGACGAAGAGTGTGCTTGATTTATTCATCAACAACACAGACTTATGGGACGTCACCCACTGACTATAACATGTGAGCCAACAGCTTAAGACTAAAGAGGACGAATTAACTGTGTGATAAAAGAGGGTCTCCAGGGATTTTTCACAATTTAAACGAGCCCAATAATTAATAGGCATCACTTCCTGGTTGCGTACAACGTTTCTCATGGGATGTAACAGATGCCGATGGTTGATTTAATATCTATTGCGTTGTCTCAACCAGTGATATTTATTTATATGATATATATCAAAGTAGGACTGATTTAGGGAAGCACTCGTTGTGGGTGAGGGGGTTGGGGGGGGGTTGTAGTACCAAGGATCAAACTGCACGGTGGCGAGGGATGTAAACAGAAGGTCGCTCTTTACCTTCCAGACTGGAGACTTCCACCACAGCGTTGACCTCGGCCTCCGGGCCCGACGCCGATCCTCGGGGTCTTTCTCCCGCCGCGCGGGGGACGAGCACCCCTCGTAGAAGTGGTGCAGGTAGGAACGCACGCCGAACTGGAGACAGCTCGAACCCGCCTGCACGGAGACGGAGCCGGAGGACGTGAGATAAGGCGCCTCAGCGGCAAAATATTGATCATTATTTAGATGTATTAAGATCCAGGAGGGTGGGGGGGGCTCACCTCACGCCCAGAGGATTCTGCTCCCGAGCCAGAGACCCCGGCCATCACACCTTGCACACCTCCAGGGAGAGACACAGAAACACACTGTAACAGATTGATATGTATAGATATAAAAAAAAAAATCCTCCATGGCTTCGAAGGCTGGTGATGCATTCTGGCCCGTGTCACCGGGTCGCAGCAACGATTGACAGCCGCCGCCGCGGCTCTGTTGCCGCCCACGGATGAGTCACACGGATACAAACGGGCACACGTGTCCGTCTGCCGTTATTCTCCTGAGGCGGTTTGATTGATTTCTGTCATTCTCTGCTTTCTCATGGCTGCAATTCTTCACACAACCCCGAAAACAACCTGCGTGTGGTGGTTGAAAGGGAATATTCAAACAGTTTGCCATCGTGAATTACCTCTAATGACCTTTTACAGTTGGTGCTTTAACAAGCAGCATTTAACGAGTCTTCTAAAAAGAATGACGTAATGTGACCTAACGTGTTGCATTCGTGATGAATAGCAACGCATTTAAAAAGGGTGACTTCACAAGGAAATGAGGTAGGAAAGTCAATAACCAATTACAGCATTGCAATGGACGACTTGCGTGACTACATTTTTAATGATGCTTTGTGCAGAGACCCGATTAGTGACTCCAGTAACGGAGAGAAACTAAATACATTTACTTATAGATAATAATCCATAACACCTTGTCAAAGATTAAATCAGTGGAGCAGCCTCCTAAAAGACACATTTCCGATCAAAACTTCTTAGATTTCATTTGAATAACAGCTTGAAACCCAATGAACTCCGCTCCTTTTAAGACAACTTATGCATTAACAATCCCAAAAACGTATTTTAGAGCACATAAGTACTTGTTTTATTACTTTTTAATTTGCAATTGGGCTAATTTGGGAATCACGTCTGGTCATTGAAATGCACATTGTGATAGTTTAATCTTTGAGGTGTCAAACTCATTGCTCTTTAAAACTAGACTGGTCTACTTATTCGTCCACTGTTCACATGGCTGACCATCGGATTCCATGAAACGGATTAAAATGACAACCCCCGCACATGTCGGACCCTTATCCGCTGATACAGATGTTTCAGTCCCATAAAGGCTTTTTCCCCCCGGGGTCGCTGTCCATGGTGCTCCGATCGCCGGTGAGTCACCGCGGCTCCGCGACGCTTCATCCGCAGCGGCGCACTTCCTCCTCCTCCTCCTCCTCCTTCTCCTTCTTTCCTCACCACATGCAGCAGCTTTCTATTTTCCACTCGGAACCGACTTCATGCACCCGCTGACGGACACGGTCTTACCCTCCTGGCCGCAGTGGTCGCGGGTCTCACTGCGCGTCCACGTGCTCATCGGTCCGCTGGATCTCAGACGCGGCCGCTGATGTGGATGAGCAGAGCGGAGGCGCTGCGCATGCGTGGAACACTCCATGATGGAGCCCATCCGTCTGTGGACGCGACCTTTATCGGGCACAAACGCTTCAAAGTGGCCAGTTCAGCGTCAGTTTAGTAGGATGTTCTGATGAGGGTTGTACTATTTAAACCTGGAGAAAACGTGGAATACAGGAGGTAAAAAACCTGTGACCAAAGGAGATTTAAGTATCAGGTCAGCATGGAGTCACTACCCGCCTGCAGGAATATTACAGCTATATGTGAAAGCCGGATTAGGTCTATATTTATAACCGATCTTATAGGTCTGGCCATGTTGTCAGCTATTTAGCCCCCCACCTCTTGGCACATTATCCCCCTGTCTCGATATTCCCCGTTTGAAGTCTTTGAAGGGCTTTTGGATTTTAGCCACAGGTGCTTTTAAAATTGCTTCAAACTTTTCTTGAGTGACCTCGACTTGAACCCTTGTCTTCTGCAGTCTACCTCTTAAGTAGAAAGTCAGAAAAATTTGATATTTCCAATCCGTCCACTGTTTTCACCTTCAGCATCACAATGGCCCCTCGTGTCCCCGAGAGAAAGTGTTGTCTGGGTTTGTTGTGAGAGAACATGCCTGTCTGGCACGGACCTCAACCCAATACAACACAAAGGATGAACCGCAAAGCCAGGCTTTTATTGGCTGACACCAGTAGCTGACCTTACTATCGTTTGATGGGAGCAGGCTTATGAAAAGCCTTTCAAGAAAAATGGAGGCAGTTAAAGTGTGGCTTGGCGGAACTAAATGTTTGAGCCCCCCTACTGATCCTGTGAAAACAGTTAGAAAATTTCCTCCGGTGAATGGAAGAGAGCGTTAAAATATCTGCAATAATAACCCAAATGATGAGGTCGGGATTGGAAAGGAAACTGCAAAATAAAGCATTGCGAATATTAAAAGTCGGTCATTCAAAGGGGCATTTAGCAGTTATTTGATAAAATTGAAGACGGCTGAGACCATCACAGCACAGGCAAGTTTATACGAAAGAGATCATCTGAAATATATTCTATAAAAATCATTGGGTGACATCGCATGTGGGATCCCACAGGGCTCAATTCTGGTACACCTTCTATTGGTAGTTCATTCATGTCCCCTAATTTTTGCCATTCGTTTTCATTGTATATCTTTTATCAACTAAGATCCCAGAGGAGTATTACATGAATACCATTATAACATTATAATAACATTATACTATCAGATGTTTTCTCCTATTCAAGTTCTCAATGACCAAAAAGGAAGAGTTCAACTTCATCAATGTGACGGCGAGGCCTTTTTTAACTTTGCCATGAACATTGTAAGGTAAGCAAACACAAACGCACACTGAAGAATGTTCTCCGCCTCTGTAAGAGGGAGCTTTCATTAAAGGCTCACTTCAAGTCTCAGCGACAATGTAAAAAAAAAAACCACAACCACCTTGAAAATACACACATGCACTCGCACAGATACGTCCCAATATGTGGTCCGTAAATATTTCAGTGTTTCCTGAGGATGCATTATTTATGCAGACTGTCAAAACAGATCCCAAATGAAAAGAAAACAAATACTGTCATTTTGACGATTCCACCCAATATGTGTGTGAAAAGAACGCATGTGTGTGTGTGTGTGTGTGTGGGTGTGTGTGTGCGTGTGTGCACATAGCAGTTCATCACATTTGTGGTTTAGACAGTAAACCTTATAATTCAGGATAAGACTGTTTCCAAGTTGCCCTTGTGGAAAAAATTCATTGAAGGCTGGTCTTGTTTGTCATTCACCTCCTCAAACACACACACACACACACACACACACACACACACACACACACACACATGTGCAGGTTTCCGAATGACCGAGCTGTATCCTCTATCAGAGAGAGAAAGAAAGATTTCCATGGTTACGAGTCCAGCAAGGTCAGACACAGGAAGTGAGTGCTAGGTGTTGATTGGCTGCCAGATAATTACACTTCCCTTCAAGATGATGTGCAAACAGGATTATTATTTTTTTTCTCATCCACTCTATTTAGAATGAGTTGTAAAGCACTATCAGTAATTTCAGCTGCACGCCTTGCTGCCCTTATTACTTCCTTTATTCACCAGCTTGGGGAGGTTTATCCTTTGGTGTGATAAATTATGCATTGTGCTTGTCTGGTATCTTAAAAATAACCTGCGCATCAACCCACACCAGCCTATAAAGCTACTGTCAATACGGTGGAACATCCGAGCCATCATGTTAATTAGTTGCGAAAAGCCTTTCATTTATTGGCTTGTGAAATAAAAAAACGGTGAACCATTTTCCGAAGCAGCAATATTTAGGTTTGATGACTGAGAAGACAGTTTTAGTTGTTTGTTTTCTGCATCCGTCAAATGCTTGTCAGGGTGCCGGGGATAGTGGCCGCTATCCCAGCATGCACTGCAAGGCACTTTCTGACGCGCTGGCAGTTCAGTGGAGCGCCAAGAGACACACAGAGATGGCACTTATTTAATACACACGAGTGTTATTCTTACTTTTGAAAGACGTCACTTGTCACTTATTGTCTTGCCAGGAGTTCAGAGCAGGTGAGAGGTCGCGCAGTGTGACCCCCGGTCACCAAACTCTATCCTTTTAAGAATATATGAAACACCACGTTATTAAATTCACTGCCTGTTTCTCTCGCACCGTCTCAAACACATGTTTTTTGAAGCTAACATTTTCACCGTTTGTACCTAATTTCCCTTTCTTCTCTATATCTCAAACCCTGCTGTAGCCTTATGGATTCACAAAAGAAATATTAAAACTGAAAATTGTTCCGTCCTCCTATCTGAACTGCAGTTAGGCATTTGACTTATCTTTTAATTGCACTAAAGGCTCGTTAAATCGAATTCTCCCGTCTTTTCTTCCCCGTGTCACATCTCTGTTAAATTCAAGTATACAGCCAGGATCCATCGCTCTATCTCAAACACAGGCACACCTTTATAATTGCATAATTAAAAGCTGGTTAGACTCACCGTGCTGCTCACTATCTCTTTCTTAAAAGCAGGTATTGGAGGCGCGCCGTCATGGATGCACCAAAGCCGCGTTAAAACCGCATATATATATTTTGTTATCTTCAATGCTTTTGGTAAGCTCACATTCTAATTGTACAATAAAGTTCCCCATCCCCCTCCCCTGTGTATTAAACGCTGCCGCGGCGCTGCAGGCGGGCTGATGGCGGGCTGATGGCAGTGAGCAGGTCAGGAGGTCACTGGATGTGTTTGCCGGCTACGTTGCATCATGCAGAGCGTCAGATAACGGCACATTAACATGAATAATGCATCGCATGTTGACAAGCGGAGAGGAACACACACAAAGTCTAAATATTCTATAAGGAGAGGAATTCGTGGAATGGAACAGCACTTTGGGAACTAATGGGCCGTCAGGTGTCACGCGCTGTGATGAAGAGGCAGGAAGCGTGTGCGAGCGTGAACGCGTCGATGTGCAGCGCCGCGCTGCTCGTTATTGCTCAATGTGGGTTATAAGACTTATTTAACAAAAAAACACATAAATCTTTTCTCATTTTGGGCTTCGTGCCGCTTGCTTGGGCTTGTCAAGAGGGGGGAAAAAAATCTGTTTTTAAAAAGAATGTAATTAGACAGTGGAAGTCTGGAGGAGATATAAGACAAAAACAAAGCTGTCACATGTTTCCAGACTGCTGCGATGCTTCGACAGTTACTTTTATTGATTGCAGCTCTGAATGATTTGTGATTGGAATGCATATTTAGATTCATAACTCCTTTAAAAGCAGAGGTTTTGCATCCAGTTCTATTTAAGTAAAAGTTTGAAACTAATTGTATTATTTTGAACAAAGTCAGCAGTGTGTGTTGCATTTCTTGTAGAACATTTTCCATTGTGGACTGATGCATCTTTGGCTCTTTAGTGAGAAAAAAGAGGCCGTGTTGATGGTGACGGAAGCATCAGAGTGCATCTGTGGCTCAGTGGAGCTTCAAAGGTGAATACGATGTGCTACAGCAGGCCAGACACAGACATAAGACTCGTACCACAACGCTCTGCTTCTGGGAAATTTGTTGATCATAAATTGTATCGCAAATAATACGAGATGGAGACTAAGCGACTTTTGACTACTCAATAAAATGAATGTTGTTGAGGTCCACATTTATTTTGCAGGTTAAATATTAAATTCCAAAGCAGTTGATCACAAGTTAAAGGTCCAGTGCCTGATGCTGAAAAGCAAATGCTCACATAAAGTAGCTCAACCGCCTGGAAACTACTTGTATGCAGGACTCAAGTAAATGTATTTGACTTTTAAATCATATCGGTAGCAAATACAAAGTGTCACCCGACCTCGGCCTCCAAATCTTTACAAAACGTGTGACATTTTTACACTACACACTCAATTCAGTCATCAAAGCGATTTGAAATTAGAATAAAATTGTCATTATTAACTGTTCTAGTCATGTGTTGTAGCCGCGAGGGGAAATGTTTTACATATCGTGTTGGAGGATGAAACCTTCCTCCATCAAGCCCTCAAGCGAGGCTCCTCTTCCTCTTTCGCCCCGAGACGAAACATTTCATCACCCATCTACTGATTATCATTTTAACACACCACGCTACGTGTGCAGATTACGTAATCCCGGAGGGGGGGTCTCTGCGTGTCTCTGGATCTATACGATTTGATTTATATACGTATGTAAATATGTTTCTACACTATTTGCCCACTTCTCATCTTTCCCATCTCCGAAAGGACTGACCCACTTCTCCTCCTCCACCAGAAACAGAGTGTGCCCGGAGGGGGGGGGGGGGGGGAGAGCGCCCGCTGCAGAGCCGACTGGTTCAGGGGTCCTTCTCCCCCCCCCTCCGTCTTCCCTCAAGTCATTACGGCTCCGGCGAGCAGACAGAGGGGATGGATGGGTTTCATTCCGTCGCGGCGCCTCCACTTGTCTGATCATTCAAGGTCATATGGAGCAGATCGATAAGGCTACACTGATGTATGGGGAGGAGGATAACTTGGGTGTTTGTGTCGGGCGCGGGGGGGGGGCACAATCACCTGCG